CAGCAGGTCACAGATGCCTCCTTACACACCATCCTGCTGGCTAGGAGAATACCAGAGCCCCACATCCATGTCCACAGGATTCTGTTGGGGCAGAAGAGAGAAAGAGGGCCAGTATTGGAACCCAGGGCTGTGAGACCTCAGCCACAGAGGACGTGTACAGAACTGCTGGCTCTGAAACCATCTAGCCAACTTCTATCCCTGAGATGAGGACACAAGCTGATCAGACGAAGGTGACAGGGACACGGCATCGACACCGCCACAGTCATAATCCTCAAGGGAAGTCATGGCCTCCAAGGATGGATCGAAGATGCAAGCCAAACGTGCTCCTTCCCAGGACAGGCGTGGGAGGAAGACAGGCACCCATGTGGCAGGAATAGGGCATGCCTTCCTTCCAGATGAACCTCTAGAGTTGCTACTGTTTTACCACCATGGCCCACATCCAGCTAGCCATAAAATTGGTGTCCGGATGCAAGCACAAGGACCCAAGTTCGATCACTGGTATCAAAAAAAAAAAAAAATTCGTGTCCAATTTTTTGTAGGGGCTTTGGCTGCTGCAGAGGCCGGGCTGATAGAGCTGACCAGGGAGGTTCCCTGAGCCAGCAGCTAGATCCAGGCAAGAAGCAAGCAGAGAAGAGGCAAAGGTGACAAAGGGAAACATCCCCCCATAAAGACCCACATACCTTGTTAGGGTACCCATGCTTTTTTTTTTTTTTGGTACCCGGGATTGAACTCGGGTCCCTACACTTGCAAAGCAGGTGCCAGAACCACTGAGCTAAATCCCCAGCCCACCCATGCTCCTATATTTTGTTTGTTTTGTTTTGTTTTTTGAGACAGGGTCTCACTATGTAGTTGAGACTGACCTGGAACTCACTATGTAGTCCAGCCTGGTCTCAAACTTACAGCGATCCTCCTGCCTCAGCCTCCCAGTGCTGGGATTATAGACATGCGCCACCACACCCAGCCCATGCTCCTATAAATGACTTATAATCCATTCACTAGACGTTGCTGAAGGTCCAATCAGTTGGTGCCAGCCACATGCGCCATCACACCCAGCCCATGCTCCTATAAATGACTTATAATCTATTCACTAGACGTTGCTGAAGGTCCAATCAGTTGGTGCCAGCCACGTCCAAGGGCTAATGCATTACTTATCACTGACATAATAAATCACCACAAACCCAGTGGCTTAAAACACACATTTATTATCTTACAGCCCTGGAGATGAGAAGTCTGGGTCTCATGGTACAGGTAGGCTGCATTCCTCTCTGAGGCCCCAAGGAAGAACCTGCTCCATACTCCCCGCATCGACAGAACTCACCTGTGTCTACTTCTACAGCTATGGGTCCCATATTCTTGTTGGCTGTAAACAGAAGGGGCATTTATAGCTTCTAGAAGCCACTGCATTCCTTGGCTCATGGCCTACTTACTCCATCCTCAAAGACAGCGAGGACAAGCCAGATCCCTGGCAGGTCAGGGCTGGTGATCACACTGAGCCCCCTCAGATAATCCAGGATAATCTCCCATGTCAAGGTCCTTAGCCTTAATCACATCTGCAAGATTGCTTTTGCCAAGTAAGATAGCCTCTTCACAAATTCCAGGGATGGGATTCTGCCTACCACATTATCATTCTGTAATCCCCAAAACGGAGGCTCAGAGAGAGAGAGTAGAAGGTCACCTGAGGTCATACGAATGGCTGAGCAAACTCATCCCGAGTCTGCCGACTCTAGGTCCACTGGTGCTGGCGTGACAGTGTGTGCCATCCCAGCAGCCTCCCTGCCCAGCACGTACATCAGGGGACATCCAGCAAGGGGAACAAGATGCTGTCTGGTGCATAAAACCTTGTTTCTCACAGGGTGTTGTTCCAGGCCCTGACTTGGTTAGGGACGAGAGAAGGCCAGTGGAAGGTGACTGGATTTCAGGCCTAGCAGCCACGTTGAAGACCAAGGAGGGTGGTGTTCACATGTGACACATCACTGGAACTCTCAAGCCCTCCTTCCTGTCTGCAAGCCCATCACCCATTCCTCACCCACACATGCTGCCAGGCCTGGTGGGTGCGGGAGAAGACACGCTGCAGGAGCACTGAGGCTTGCTGAGCGCTCAGACTAAGGTCTGAAGGACTTGCCTGCACCCATTGGGTTCCCACCAGCAGGGGGCAGTGACTCAAAAGCAGGTTGTGTGGGAGCAGTTAGTTCCCCAGGGACAAGGCACTGTCATTCACTCTTGAGTTCTAGGGACACAGAAATGGAAGATAACTAATCATCCTTGGCAGGGAGGTGGAGTTACCATAGAAACTCACAGATAACTCTTCTGCTGCTACATCTTCGCTGTGTGGCAGGCAGCCCCGTGGTTCTCAGACCTATGCATAATCTGTGCTCATAGCCAGAGGAAAGCAACCCTAAGCCAGACCGGGGCCAGGCAGCTCAAAACCTTTCCTCAGAAGTGGAGGCGGATCCAAATGGCCCATGGCCCACACTGCAGCTCCCCAACACAGAGCATTTCCCCACAGGGAGTCAGAGGGAGCGATTCTTCAGTGTGAGAGGAGACAGCACACAAGGCCCCTCTGCCTGGAGACCATGGCACTAGAAAGGCAACGTACAGGTGGCAGATGGAAGCCCCTTGCTCAACACGCAGCCTGCCCCGGCCAGCACTTCAGATCCAACATGAGCACTTCTCTCTGACCAGCTTCTAACCTGCACGCTTCATGTGTTCTCCAACCCTTTTCCATAACAGGCTCAGGCAGTTCCTTCCATGCCTCGGTCCTCTGAGACCCTCTAATAAGCACTGCTCCTTTAGCCTCAGACACAAAGCCTGGTTTAAAAGAGCTGAGGGGAGGAAGGGAGCCTCTCCCCACCCTCAGGGAAATAGCCATAGGCCAGGCCTGATCTTGCTGCACCTAGACCCCAGCAGCAACCCTGGATACCGCACAGGAAGGCCAGAAGTGACCAGAGGCACAGCAGGCTCCATCTGCAGCTGGTTCCAGGAAACAGGAGCCAGGCAAACCGAGCCTCTCACAGCTGGAGCCTCAAGCTAACCACACTCCCCAGCCCTTACCTGCCATCTTACCCGCTGTTCCAGCCCCAGGAGTCATGGCCACCCAGGCTCCTGGGGGAAATACTGGACCTGTGCCTGTTCAGCAATCAACCAAGTCACTCAGCAAAGACAAAAAGGAGAGGCAAGGCCATGTCACCCTCCAGGGAAGGCTGGTGGGTCAGGGTGTTCTGTTCTTCCCAGAAATGGCTGCCAGGGCTCCAGACCAGCATGTGGGTGTTTCACATGTATCCACCTGCTCAGAAGACCCCTCCACCCTGCACTGACCACCAATCGGTAAAAATCAGAGGATTTTAGTGAAGGGGACAGCAAGCATGGTAACAAGCCTGAAATGCTGGCACTCAGAAGGCTGAGACAGGAGAATCCCATGTTCCAGCCTGTCCTGGGCAATTTAGGGGCTAAAAAGTAAAAGCGGGTGGGCATGTAGCTTAATGCAAAGGTTAAGGACCTGAAGCTGCCATCACAGGCTGCATTTTCCTGGTTCTTCTTGCCTTAGAATGACCTCATGCTCTTATCTTTAGTTTCCCTACCCACAAGGCCACAGCAGTCTGGAGAAGTTAAACCTAAGTTTCTGCAGGACTGAACCCGTAAAGGGCAACCTGGCCTGTGATAGGTTAAAAGTAGCCCACTCTTCATAAATAAGCAATAGCCCAGCCCCAAAACTATAAAAGGACCTTCCTTTCTCTGTTCCCTCTCCTTCTCTCTCCCCGACCTTCCTTCCTGAATAAAGTCTCCTGTCAGACCTCTTGGAGTGTGGCCTAGTTGTTGAAGTGTCGCTGTCTCTTCAAAGGTCCTGGGTTCAATTCCCAGCACCATAACCACCCCCACAAAAAAGGCAAGAAGAGCTGGGAATTAGCTCAGTGGTATTGCTTGCTTAGCATGAAGTCAATCCTCAGCGCCACAAAATTTTTTCTTAAAAAGGTAAGATTCTATATACAAAGTACTCCACCTCCCAACCACAAAGGTCAGTAAGCACCTAAAAGAAACCACCAGAGAGCATAGGGAATGCTGCACCGGCCCCATGGGACAGAGAGACACACAGACACAGAGCCACTGAGCTTGGCATAGCCAAGGGGGGAGGCTATGTGCAAGAAAAGCTGTCCAGAGCTGGGGGTGGTACTGAGTCCTGTATTCTCAGCACTTGGGAGGCTGAGGTAGGAGGATAAACCAGGAGTTTAAGGCCAGCCTGGGATATGCAGCAAGTTTAAGGCCATCTTGAATTGCAGTGAGACCTTGTCTCAAAACACGTAAAGGAAGAAGTGGGGGGGGGGAGACAGAGAGAGAGAGAGAGAGAGAGAGAGAGAGAGTAATCCCAGCACTCAGGCGGTTGAGGCAGAATTGCTAAGTTCAAGACCAGCCTAGGCTACACAGTGAGTTCCAGAGCAGTCTCAACTACATAGTGAGACCCTGATTCAAAAAAACCAAAAAAAAAAGAAAAGAAAAAAAAAGGGGAGGGAGGAAGGCTACCCAGTGTCAATATGGTTTATTTTTCTAAGAGCTCCAGCCCTTTTTATTTTTTGAGACAAGGTCTCACTAAGCTGCCCAAGCTGGGCTCAAACTTTTGATCTTCCTGCCTCAGCCTCCCAAGTAGATGGGATTACAGGTGTGTACCACCATGTGTCTCCAAAACTATTTAAATACAGGAAGCATGCAAGGAGTTAGGCCTACCACAGGTACTGGGGCCTTCAGCCAGCCAGGCCTTCCTCTCTACCCCTCCAACCCAGAATCATCTTTAGCTCACATGTGGAGATGGGAGACCACGCAGGAGGCACAATGAATTTCTGAACCAAGGTTTAGATACTTTATTGTTACAAGGGGGACCCCACCGAGCAGGGCCAAACAAAGTATATGGTCCCAGATGTCACCGTGGAGATATCGAGAGGTCATGATTGCAGAAGTGACTGGAATTGAACGACATGATCAAGAGAGGCCCGTCTGGAATGCAGGAGACATGATCTGGATGGGTCAGCGGAATGGTCAGGTTACAGGGAAGGGAAAGCAGCCCCCTTCACTCTCACTTCTTGTAGCTCTCCAGGTGTGACAGGACCCAGCCCGATGGCAGGAGGAAACACAGGAAGCAGGTGGTAAGCCCAACGACGACATCCTACACAGAGGACAGGGAAGGATTCCCCAAAGTAAGGATCCCTCAGACACTCCAAAGTCTGTGTACTCCTCAAGGGGGCAGAAAGCCACTCTCAGGGAGCCAAGACGCCACATCCCCACATTAAAGGAAACCTACACGGTGAAGTAGGTGCCTAACGTGTAAGCTCTGAGTTACATCTCCAGCTCCACAAAAATAAAGAAAACTCATGCTCTAAGGAGGGGACATCATCGAACCAAGATCCATCTCAGTTTTGATACAGAAGTCAGTCACACGGATGGGGACAAGAGCCTGGAAGGAGGGGCAGCCTAGTGTAGGATCCAGGCACGTTAAAGCAGAAGCAAGGATTTAAATCTGTTTTCAAGCTGGTCTATTGGGACCTGGAAACCTCACATAGGACAATAACTCAAAAACTACATCTCCTTTCATCTTAAAATCTGTCCTTTGCAGAAGGTGGTGGCACACATCTCTAATTCCAACAACTCTGGAGGGTGGCTGAGGCAGGAAAACAGTAAGTTCAAAGGTAGCCAGGACAACTTAGCATGACCTTATTAAAAAAAAAAAAAATTGGCTCAGTGGTTCTGCCGCCTGCCTCACAAGCTCAAGGGCCCGAGTTCGATCCCCAGTACCTAAAAAAATAATAAAATAGAAAAATAAAATAAAAATTTAAAAAAGGAGCCAGGGATTTAGCTCAGTGGTGCCACTACCTCAAAAGAACAAGGCCCCAAATTTGATCCCCAGTACCAAAATAAATTAATTAATTATTTTTTAAAGGGACCACGGGGGCGATTTAGCTCAGTGCACTGAGACTGCCTTTCAAGCACAAGGTCTTGAGTTCAATCCCCAGTACAAAACAAACAAAATAAAACAAAAAAAAAAAAAAAAAAAAAAAAGAGAGAGAGAGAAAGCTGGGCATGGCCTGTAATACCAGCTCTTGGGAGAATGAGGCAGGAGTTCAAGGCCAGCCTGGGCTACCTAGTGAGCTCCAGGCCAGCCTGAACTACATAATAAAACCTTGTCTCAAAAAAAAAAAAAAAAAAAAAAAAAAAAAAAAAAAAAAAAAAAAAAAAACCAACCCACAAACACCAAAACCAGCTAACAAAATAATAAAGAGTTGGAGATGCAGCTCAGTACAAAAGTCCTGGGTTAAATTCCCCCATACTGTAAGTAAATAAATAAATAAAATTAGAAGCTGGGTGCTCTGGCACACACTTGCAATACATCATTTTAGGAGGCCAAGGCAAGAGGGTTACAAATTTGAGAACCACAGCTTAGCAAGACCCTGAGAGGGAAAAAAAGCGGGGGAGGGGTTGAGAAGGGCTGAGGATTTAACTCAGCGGCACCACATCTACCTTGTAAGCAGAGGTCCTGAGTTCGAACCCCAGTACCTAAGGGGGCGGGCGCTGCAGATGTAATTTATATAAAGGCCCTGGGTTCAATCCCCAGTACCAATAATAATTTTGAAAAAGAGCTAGGGCTATAGCTCAATGGCAGAGCACTTGCCTACAAGCTGGTGGCTTAAATTCAATTCCATACATAACAAAACCAAAAACAAAACAAAAAGGGCTTTCTCCACCCCACTCCAGCACTAAAGTCAACCTTTGGAACCAGGGATGACTTTTTACAGCCAATACTAACTTCCTCTCCGATAGTTAAACTCCCAGCAGCCTTGTCTTCGAATTCTCTCCTTGTCACTTAAGTGTTCTCCTAAATCTCACTTCCCTCACCACAAAATGGAGATAACCACCTTGTCTCTTCAGGGGCACTGAGAGGCCTAAGACCAGCACAGCATCCTTAGCAAGGTGCCTAGCACCCAGGAGGCACTTGGCAAAGTAGGTCGAAAAGGTTGTGGTTATCATTATGTTTCTGGCTTTGCAGTGCTGGGGGTCAAAGCCAGGGTGTCATGTAAACAAAGCATGCACTTTACCAGTGAACTACACCCGAGCTGCTTTTTTGCTTTGGTTGTTTCTGCACTGTCGGGAACTGAATCCTGGTCATCCCATTTGCATTAAGCAAAGGACCTACCACTAAGCTACACCCCTGACCATTTTTTTCCCCCTTTGGTGGCAGTGGGTATTGAAACCCGGAGCCATCACACTCAGCTCTTTTTATTTTTTGAGACAGGGTTCTCACTAAGTTAACAGCTGGTCTCTCCAATTTGTAATCCTCTTGCCTCAGCCACTTGAATAACTGGGACTACAGTACCAGTCTCAATCTGCTTCGTAGCTGGGCAAACAGGCAGGTACTGCGCTTGACTTGATTATCATAGTTTCCTCAATCACACTGTTCTCTGCGTCTGCTCCTAAAGACCAACGAAAGAACCTGGATTCTCAAGATTCGCATTCAGGGTCAAGCTCTGCCACTGAGCCAGATGTATAAAAGCTCCAACTAGGTGGGAGTTGTCCTCAAAAGCTAAACGCTGGCTAGGGATTTAGCTCAGTAATGCCGCCGCCTCGGAAGCACAAGGTTCCGTTGGATCCCCGGTTCCAAAAATCAAAAAAAAAAAAAAAAAA